ACCCACTGCTGCCTGCAGTGTGTCGGTGGAGCACTACACCGGTCGGATCAGGACGCTCTGCCCTTCACAATGACACGAATCACTGACGCGTTACGTTCACAGGTGGAAAGACGCACATTCTAACTTATTCCAGTGTTTTACTTCAGTACAAAGTCGAGCTTCCTTGGAGCTCACAGGTTTGTTAAGCTGCTGGTAAACCCCCTGACATCACTGGCAGCGCCCTCCCTGATTGGTCAGCTGTGTGCAGGTGAGACAGTGGGTGGGGTGTGAGCGCAGAGCCGTGGCCCGAGTGTCTGCAGTGACACCCCTGGTCACCACGTTCCTGGGTTGTGTGCTGTTCTCGTGAGGTTTGGTTTGGGGCCGGTGGTGCCCTCCAGTCCCGGGATGGAGACACACAGGTGACAAGCAGCTTCCTCCGTGTTGGAGAGCTCAGCCCTGTGGCAGCTGATCTGTTTGGACGTCGGCCGGCTGCACAGATTCCACCGTGGAACTGTGCTCAAATGACTGTGTCTGCTGGAGCGACTGAGCCTTAACGCCCCCAAACAACCTGGGTGTAGCTCCTGCCGTCTGCCGCCCTCAGACTGGAGCAAAGCAGCATCAGCTCAGGTCGAGGCCGCAGACATCGTACCATCATTTCCCAGCATGCCCTGCTTCACAGTTTCTGTGAAACTGCCTGAAGCAGTGGGAGTAGGAAACCGTGCTAACCACGCTGAGGCCTGCAGGCGGCACAGCTCCCGGGGGACTGGGAGGAGGAGCGGCTGATGGGCCGAGAGAGGAGACGGGCCCCGAGCGACCCCCCTCTCAACAGAAAGCTTGACAACAGTGAAGCTGTCCCAAACAGCCAGCTGCCAAACTGCTCTGTGCTCCTGACACGTCCCGTGTGAGTGCAGTGCGTGGTCACATGTTGCTGCTGTTGTGTCGGGGCCACCTGAGGCCGACAGTGTGCTTGTGGAGCTCATAGTAAACTAAGAGTGTGCACGCTGGCCTCGTTTGAAAACAAACCTTAGCAAACAGGATGTGGTTTGTAGGTTACTGGTTGGGTTGGTGCTCCGTGTTGCTGTTTGTCAGGCTGCAGGTCTGTGTGCGCGCAGAAACACAGTGCTTGTTCTGCATAAAAGTGGCTGATGTGATAACTAGGCATACGTTACATAAGTACAGTTACCACAGTCAGATGCTGGATTGAGCTGCTAGTTACTGGTAGTTTACCTGAAATCAATGTCAGGGCTTCTCAAACCTGCTGCCGTCTGACAGACACAGAGGCGTCTCAGTGTAAAAGCATCTGAAGAAGAAGAGAGTCTGCTCCTTCAGGGGAACGATGGTCTCTGGACTGGAGGGGGGTGAAAGGTGAAGGTGGCAGGTGTATGTGCTACAGTAGAAGTGTCTCCTCCGACATGTAGTGAGTGGAAGCATGAAGTTGCCTAAAATGAAAACAGGAGTACTTGAGTAAATGTACTCTGTTACTTCAGACACTGCCAGCGTGTCTGTGAGCAGGCAGACGTCAGGGAGGTGCAGGTGACTGTAGTCCTGCTGAGGGGACGGCGGCTCTGAGGCCGAGTGGTGCAGCAGCCTGTTGACAGACTTGGACTGTGGTGATGAACACAGATGTTTTCTAAGTTCCTGAACATGCTGTGAGCAGAGAACAGCTCCCCCTCCTCCGTGCACTGGCCACTCCCCTTCCTCTCTCGCTGCCTGACAAGAGGAGCTCTCATCTCAGCTGGTGAGAGCGTTCAGCGCCTGCTGAGGACCAGGCGAGTTGGTGTGTGCAGCTGTGAGGAGATGCTGTTTGTCCAGGGGATCGCGCTACTGCTGCTGCTGCTGCTGCTGCTGCTGGATGAAGCTCTGGCTCAGAGTGGAGACGGAGACACCAACATAGGTGAGAGGCCAGTGCACATGGTGACAGGACAAAAGCTCAGGACAAGGACATGTGACTTTTACATTAGTCACACGTTTCTTTTTACTGCCTGCATGTGGACTTATTCACATGTTTGAGATGAACTGTGAGCTTTAATGAGTCAAGACTTGATTCTGAAATACTGAGTCAGCTCGAGCCAAAACAGTTACAGGGTCAGTGTCCTGGAAGATGGAATCAGTTCATGCTTCAGTCAGTGAGTACTGCGCTGTACATCCTGTGCCATGTAACCCAGTTACTATTAGGAACCCTGGGCCAGTACCAGGCCTCCTGAGCCGCGAGTCCTGCAGCCTGTGTCTGTTCTGTCTGTACTGCACTGCAGCTTTGTGTGTTCTGCTACCAGGAGAACACGTTACAGCACCACAATTCAGAATCCAGTCACCTACAAAACATTCAACTGGATCAGCTTCGAACTGCAGGCCACACAAACACACACACACTGAGC